GATCATCGTATGCCAGAGTGCGACGGATATGTTCTAGTTTAGATATTTTGCCATAAAATCATTTGCGTTGTTGCGCTTGGCCCGAGACATCCGCGAAGGATGTCGCTTCTGTCCCGGAGTAAACCCCGAAAAGCCCTAGAACCCTAATCTCTGCATAGTTATTGTTATTATTGTTCGAAGCAGCCCACGAATCCGTGACCTGATTGCCCCAGGGGGCTTGTATGAATGGTTTTAATTTCCCATGTGAGTAGGGTGCTCCAGGGCTTTAGGGAACTATGTGTGTGAGCACACGAGTTGGGATTTTCGAGCTTTCTTGACGGTATTTTGGGCTAGGATCTAGGTTCTGAGGCTTTGTTGTGCATAGAGGGGTGCGAGGATTTGGGGCTCCAGGGCTTCAGGGTTGAACGGGGGTGTTGAGGGTCGAGGCAACCATGTGCATGGGGAGCTTCTAGACCAAAGGGCCTGGATAATTCGAGAAGGCTTTTGCGGTGAAATGCTGATGTAGATGTACAGGTGCTATATTGGGATGTTTTTGCTCCCCGTCCCCCTTCAAGTGCTTTCGTAAACACCCTCTAAAGCTTCCCCTTCTCGGCCTGGCTTTGCCGCACTGTGCCTTGCATGTGCAGGCGGGATCCTGGCCGTGCAATAGAAGTGCTCAGCCGAGAGAGCCGGAATTGAGCTTCAGAAAGGTTGAGTGTTTAGGGCTTCCCTAAACCCTATAGTAGGGCAAAACGGTTGGATAATACACCTCTGTAGCCTCATTCTGAGGGTTCAGGTCCCTAACGCAGCGGTAGCGACCGGGAGTACAGTGATGTGAACTAGTAAAGGCAGCATGCATAGTTCGGATGATGCATATGAGCAACACGTCACAGCCATGAGTGCCTTGCGGGAGATACTGATTCGAAGAGTATCCGGAACAGTCAACTTGGCGGCAGTGGCCCTGGCTCTAGTACGGATGGTCAGTAGAACAAGGGCATCGTTTCCCACCGTGCATGGGCAAACTACAGTGCTGATAAGCCTGTGATCATCTCCCTCCCCCCCTCCATGGCCCTAAACCCTAAACCCTAAACTCTAGATCCCTAACCAGATCCTAAGCCCTAGACAAGAGCCTCAAGATACAGTTGCTCATCAACCTGGGACCTATGACCCAAGCCTTACATCTATCATGGAAGCAGGAAGGCTCAACCCTCAGCCACAAGCCCGAACTGATCCCCAAACCTTGAACCCCGGGCCATGTATCCTAAAGGGTTCAGGGTTTAGCGGGTTTAGAGGTTTAGGGTTTAGGGTTTACCCTAAATCCCAAGCCCCGAAACCCCGAAGCTGCGAGCCCGTAGGCATAACCTAAACCCCTGATGAATAATTCCCTCTCTTGCAGGGCCAAAGTATTTTGTTGCATCCTAACTTGAAGGATCAGGGGACGTAGTCAGTAGGCTTCATTAGTACTTCAATTAGGGCTTTAAGATGTTTTAAGTTTTTATTTACTATAGTTGCTGAACTTATAACCCTGCTTACCAAGCCCCCTGATCCTCTAAGTACACTTACAACTCCCAAGAGAGTATCCCCAAACCCTAAACCCTTAAACCCCCTAAACCCTTAAACTTTAACCCGTGAACCCCTAAGTCACTAAATTCTTTGACATCTCTAAGCCCTAAACCTTACTTGGAGGATCATGGGACTTAGTAACTAGGGTTATAAATAAGGTAACAATAACTATAACCCCAATTAGGGTACTTATAACCTTACTTCCTAGGTCCCATGATCCTCCAAGTAGAACCCTAAACCCTAAACC